CAACTTTTAGATTTTCCCTTGCATACCTTGTTGTTTATGTGTAAATACAGAGTGAGAATGGGAGAATAGTGGATAAAGAGATGGTATTCTGCTTTTTGGCTTTTTCCCTCTCCGTTCTTGAGTTTATACCTTTTTTGTGCATGTAACAGGTTTGCAAAGTGAAACAGCCCAAAGTGAGTTCCCATCTCCCACAGAAAACTCTGCTCTGAACTGAACTGAAAACAGCTCGTTTGTAGTCCAGCCGCTTCCCTTTCATCCCTGTGACGTCACAGGGATGAAAGCTAAACGCGCCTCATATAACGCTCGCCAAGCGGCTACTCCGACACGCCCTCAGAAACAGCGAGCTGCAGCACACAGCTCTCCTCTCCCTTCCAAACACTAGCTACCCTCCAGGCAGTCAGTGGACATAAAGTTGTTCCTGTGATGTAGAGACAGAGCTCAGTTAAAACTTTATGGATACAGATTAATAACTCACCGCTCTGAAACTCTCGCTCCAGTCCGGCTGAACCCGAGCTGTTTACCGGCTTCTCGCTGACCCACCCTTCTCTGCTTCTGATTGGCTAGTAGTCCTTAACTAGGAACTGAGCATGTGCAACTCCCAACAAAGATCATTTAGAGACAAGATGTATCACTCCATAGCTAAAACAAAGCCTTCAACACAGGGTGGAAAGAGGAGCAGCAGCAATGTGCAGTATGACAAAAATATAACCATGTAAACCTGCTCTGGTACAAACCCCTAAATAGGATTTTGAACCTGAAAATGAGCAGAATACCACCTCTTTAATACAGCCCACACCCCTAATAATACTGTGTAATGACAGGATAACAAGTGGAGAACATTCAAGTTTATTTACACCTCTCTGCTTACCTTATTAGTCTTGTGTAACGTAAAGAATGAAAATAAATACTAGGTCCATCTGTACCCCATTATTACACATTTATGAATAGCTATGTTTGATCCACCTTCATGTACAGTATATGTGACATTATTACATAACTGTAGCCTATTACTTGAGACGGGTCCCTTAGCTGCAATGGAACATTAACGTTTTGGAGTGACCTTTTATTGCGGCCAGCCTGAGGCCTTTTATTGCGGCCAGCCTAAGGCACACATGTACAATACCCATGCTGTCTGATCAGCATCTTGATATGCCACACCTGTGAGGTGGATGCATTATCTCAGCAAAGGAGAAGTGCTCACTAACACAGATTTTGACAGATTTGCAAACAATATTTGAGAGAAACAGGCCTTTTGTGTCCATGGAGAAAGTCTTAGATCTTTTAGTTCAGCTCATGATGAATGGGGGCAAAAACAAAAGTGCTGCAAAGAGCTTTCTGTCTGATCGGGGCCTTCTTTGTCGTTTTATAGTGGTTGGCATTACCATCACCAACTGGATTAAACAGCAAAACATTTACAGTGTCCACCCAAAGTGATTCCATTCACAACTGTAGTCCATCAGTTATTATAGTTATTATATAGTTATTTGTAAGTTCTTTTTTTTCAATTTTTGTGTCTATAGCAGCATTATTGCGACCCCTCTGGGACCAGGGTCTGGACCCCCAGATTAAGAACCACTGATTTAGATAATCAATTAGTTCAGTTGGAGTATTTTTTAAGACAAAAAAGTTCAAATTCTCTGATTCCAGCTTCTTCAATGTGAATATTTCCTGGTTTCTTTCCTCCTCTGTGACAGTAAACTGAACATCTTTGAATTGTAGACAGATAACGACACTTGAGTGACGTCATCTTGAGGTTTGGAAAACACAATTTCCACCATTTTCTGACATTTTATGGAGAAAATTGCTGATCGATTTACAGAGAAAATAATTACAGATTAATCCACCATGAAATTAATCATTAGTTGTGGCCCTAACCGGGAGTCCCTTGTAGAGATCCTTTTCATGATGTTGGTATAACAGTCTGAGCCTGTCGCTGGCAACAAGAAGCACTTTTTGTGGACGCCATTTTGATGGTCACAATTGCCCCGAAGACATACGTTGCAGCCACTGACCCCAACATATGTAAACATAGGGTCCAGGTATAAAAATACCATAATGACCCTTATAGTAAAGGCTAAAAGCAGGACTTTTTTAATTTTAGTGGATGTGAGTATTTCTTTCACCACTGGAAGGTGACAGTATAAAATTTATTCAAATATATTTGAACCACACGTCACAGGCATCTCTGGAGGCTCGCTAACTAAAACAGAAGATATAAGAACGCACTGCATATTAAACACTACGCAACATCAGCTAACTGAGACTACTCTGATCACAGTCATTACAGTATCTCACAAAAGTGAGTACACCCCTCACATACTTGTAAATATTTGATTATATCTTTTCATTTGACAACACTGATGAATTGACACTTGTGAGCGTGCAGCTTGTATAACAGTGTAAATTTGCTGTCCCCTCAAAATAACACATCACACAGCCGTTAATGTCTAAACCGCTGGAAACAAAAGTGAGGACACCCCTCAGTGAAAATGTCCACATCAGGCCCAATTAGCCATTTTCTCTCCCCAGTGTCATGTGACTCGTTAGTGTTACAAGGTCTCAGGTGTGAATGGGAAGCAGGTGTGTTAAATTTGGTGTTATCGCTCTCAAACTCCCTCATACTGGTCGCTGGAAGTTCAACATGGCACCTCATGGTAAAGAACTGAGGATCTGAAACAAAGAACGGTTGCTCTACATAAAGATGGCCGAGGCTGTAAGAAGACCGCCAAGACCCTGAAACTGAGCTGCAGCACGGTGGCCAAGACCATACAGCGGTTCACCAGGACAGGTTCCACTCAGAACAGGCCTCGCCATGGTCGACCAAAGAAGTTGAGTGCACGTGCTCAACGTCATATCCAGAGGTTGTCTCTGGGAAACAGACTTCTGAGTGCTGCCAGCATTGCTGCAGAGGTTGAAGGGGTGGGGGGGTCGGCCTGTCAGTGCTCGGACCGTACGCCGCATCAAACCGGTCTGCATGGCTGTCGACCCAGAAGGAAGCCTCTTCTAAAGATGATGCACAAGAAAGCCCAGAGACAGTTTACTGAAGAGCAGCAGACTGAGGACATGGATTACTGGAACCAGGTCCTGCGGTCTGATGAGACCAAGATAAACTTATTTGGTTCAGATGGTGTCAAGCGTTTGTGGCGGCAACCAGGTGAGGAGCACAAAGACAAGTGAGTCCTGCCTACAGTCCAGCATGGTGGTGGGAGTGTCCTGGTCTGGGGCTGCATGAGTGCTGCCAGCACTGGGGAGCTCCAGCTCACTGAGGGAACCATGAATGCCAACATGTACTGTGACATACTGAAGCAGAGCAGGATCCCCTCCCTTCAGAGACCGGGCCGCAGGGCAGTATTCCAACATGATAACGCCCCCAAACACACCTCCAAGACGACCGCCGCCTCGCTAAAGAAGCTGAGGTTAAAGGTGACAGACTGGCCGAGCATGTCTCCAGACCTGAACCCTACTGAGCATCTGTGGGGCTCCTAAAACGGAAGGTGGAGGAGCGCAAGGTCTCTAACATCCACCAGCTTCGTGACGTCATCATGGAAGAGTGGAAGAGGACTCCAGAGGCAACCTGTGAAGCTCTGCTGAACTCCAGGCCCAAGAGGGTTAAGGCAGCGCTGGGAAATAATGGTGGCCACACAAAATATTGACACTTTGGACATTTTCACTCAGGGGTGTACTCATTTTTGTTGCCAGCGGTTTAGACATTAACGGCTGTGTGATGTGTTATTTTGAGGGGACAGCAAATTTACACTGTTATACAAGCTGCACACTCACTACTTTACACTGGAGCAAAGTGTCATTTCTTCAGTGTCGTCACATGAAAAGATAGAATCAAGTATTTACAAAAGTGTGTGTGTAAAAGCACTTGCTAAAAGTTTTCTGAAGATTAGCTTGCAACAGAAATGTTAAATAACAAATAAAGATTATATCAGAAAGGTTTACTTGCACAACAGGAAAACATGAAATGCAATGTAAATATAGAAGAAACAAATTTCCCTTGCCCAAAAAAGTAACAAGCTGCTGATAATATTTTTATATTCTGATTTGTCACCGGTCCACATGAATGTTGTTTCCCTTCATATAAACAAGCCATTTCCATCATAAATTGGTCTGAAAATGTCTCTAGAATGCAGGAAATTAAGAGTTTAACGCTCAAAATCTTCTGAGGGAGGACCCCCAGACGCCTCAGTCGAATAGCCTGTTTCATTAATGAATAGTTCTCGTGACTCCAATATTGTGCTTTCTCACGTCTCGTGGACCAAGTGTTTCGTCTCACCCCTAATCTGACCCCACCACTTTTCGACGCAAAGTGACGCACTTTGGTGTCCTCACTTTGGTGAGATACTGTACATTCAAATAAATTGATTTTGATGTGGAAGAGTTTTACATTACATTAACTTGACAGATGTGTGAGCGACTTACAAAAAGCAGGTTCACACTAAAGGTGAGTTTAATCTTTATCGTTTCACTGATAAACTGACTTTGACTACAAGTATTTGTGCACAGTAATGTTACTACGTTTAGTCCTTCCTGTGACAGTGAGTGTTCAGATTCCCTGATGACATCCACTCTGTCTCTCTGCAGGAGAACATTTTAAACTAATATGAAGTGTTTTTCTGCAGTGTTAAAGTGAAGCAGCAGCAGAGTGTTTGTTCTGACTAAATGTTGAGTGGGCGACTGCGGCTGCCTCTTTGTTTAATGGAGATATCAGCAAGTGCTAATGAAGTCTGCTAATCCTCTGAACGCTCCGTTAATTCCTCCCCTCTTCAGCCGGACATTCTGCCGTTGTATTTGTTCAAGATGGGCGCCGGCGGCTGCAGAACGTCGCTGCTGCTGATAGTTTTATTGTTTTATTGTTCAGACTCCATTTAAAGTCAATAAGGACTAATGGATGTTTGTTTAACTTGGATGTCAGCGTTCTTTCATTGCCTCGCAGCCCGTCGGCTGCCAATCAAACACGTGGCCTACAGGAGGAGGAGCATCAGGCTTCAAAAGCGCTGCGCTCAGAGGACCAGGACCAGAGGTAAGCCCAGAACCAGAGCCAGGACAAGCAGAAGATACCAGACCAGCAGACAGTAGGAGACTTTCCTTCTTACGATCTGTTTTAATTCTTTTCTACTTTGTTGAAGTTTGATTTTCCTTCCCCAGGTACCTCAGTGTTTATTTTCTTCTCCTCCTGACATTTCGACAGGTATGCAGTTCATTGTTCGTTGTCCCGCCATCTTGGCTCTCATGGCATTGGTTCTGTGCGGTCCAGGTGTTTCCTCTCAGCTCGACCGAGATCAGGACCAGTACCAGAACCAGGACCTTGACCTGGAGCTGCGTCAGCACAGGCTGCTGCAAAGAGCTCGCAGCGCCGGACTCCTGTCACAGGTGAGAGAAACGACCAATCAGAACCCTCTGTTTTAAAACTTTTGCAGAATTGAAGTGACATTTACAGGATAGCAGATCAACGCTTCTCTTTTAATATTATCCTTTGCTGTGTCAGCACACATGCAGGCATGATTTTAGTCTTCCCTCCTCTTTTGTGTCTTTGTTGGAGAATTAACCTCCAGCAGCCGTAACAACATGTGCCCTGCTTCAGCTGAAGAACTGAAGCTAAGCAGGTTTGGGCTTGGCTTGTACCTGGATGGGAGACTTCCTGCTGGAAGAGGTGTTGGTGGGCCAGTAGGGCGTTGTCTCATATCTAGTTTTAATAGGTGTGTTTGATTTAATGCGGCGCAGTTCTGACTTCACGTGATACATGCTGGTTAGAAATTGTGTCCGACTTTCACTGGCGCTGCAAAACGTCACCATGTCACGTGACATTAAAACCTCACGGGAGCAAGGCGGCCGCAGTTGCTTTTGTCCGACTGCAGAAAGTTGGTAACACACTATTGTGTGACCTGCAGCTCACGTTAGACTATCAAGTCAGTGAAAGTCAGCCGCCGTCATCTCAAACGCACTTAATAATAAAATCTGAATGCCAGAGTGCAGTGATGGGGGCGCTGTGCTGAGGGAGACGCCGTCCTTCAGATGAGACGTTAAACTGAAGTCCTGACTCATTGTGGTCATTGAAGATCATGTGGCAGTTATCCCAAAGAGTAGGGGGTTCACCAGAGTTCTGGTAAAATTCTCAAACTCGCTCGCTCCATCTGGAGCCCCCCCCCCCCCTCCACCACAAGTGTAATTGGCTCTATGTTTCCGTCCCTCTCCACCTCAAGCTGATGTGTGGTGAGCGACCTGTTGCAAATGGCTGCCGTGCATCACCCAGGTAGGCGCTACACATCGTGTGGTGGTTGAGATGAGTCGTCCGTCCTCCCCCCCCCCCCCCCCCCCCCCCCCCGTGACTCTGAAGCACTTTGATGTTTTAAGATGAAGTGCTATATAAATGTAATGCATTAGTATTAAATGTGCATGTGGCTCCTTTTCACCTCTGTGATAAATTAACTCATTTTAATTCAGTTAGAAACTCCTGGACTTTAACAGCTCCTGTGTTTCAGCAGCTTTTCTGCTCATGTTCAAAACTTTCTGCACATTCAGAATCTCTCCCACAGATCTGTGTTCTCTGACAGAAAAAAGTCTGAATATTACAACGAGAATAAAATCGTAACATTTACTTTACTTCTGATCAGGCAGAAATCTACAGAGCTACCGGTCAGACGGAAAGACGCCACACTGCAAACTGATCTCAAGTCTAAATAACTGGAGACTGCCAGGAAATACTAAACATGCACATCTGACTCCAACAACCTGTTCTATTATACTGACTTTATTCTTTATCACTTTTTTCTCATAAGGTGACTTAGTTTGGTCTAACAGTGGCCCTAATTCTCCTTCATAGTTGACAGAATTCCTCCTTTTGGTTTATGTTGTTCTCTTGCTAATTTGCAGCGGACTGTTTTTATAACAGAAACACTGACAGACAACAGTGGTTATATTTAACTTTTTAATCTGATTTGTTGCTGGGGACAATTCAGCAGTTGCTGGATATTGTCCCTTCTCTCCCTGCCTAATTCTAGGCCCATGTGATAAAGTCGAAAGCTCCAGAACAGCTACAGATTTCCTGGTCCAGGCAGGACTAAGACTAAATCTGACATCTGTTCTGACAAACCGTTTATTAAAAACCTGCTGTTGTTTTTCAGGACTGGAGTAAACGTGCGGTGGAGGACCTGCTGGCTCAGATGTCTCTGCCAGAGGCCGACGCCCAGCGGGAGGCAGCAGTCGTTTCCATGGCAGCAGGAGGAAGAATGAACCTGGAGCGGTCCGTCGACCCCCCCAACAACCTGCCCCCCCGTGAACGCAAAGCTGGCTGCAAGAATTTCTACTGGAAGGGCTTCACGTCCTGTTAAAGTTAAAGGTACCTGACTTCCTGTTTACGCCCCGCCCAGGTACCTGACTACCTGTTTACGCCCCGCCCAGGTACCTGACTACCTGTTTAAGCCCCGCCCAGGTACCTGACTACCTGCTCAAGCCCCGCCCAGGTACCTGGTTTTCTTTTTATGCCCCGCCTATGTAACTTCTGTGTCTCACATGTCCTTGTTGTTTTGTTCCCAGATGACACCTCGCCTTCATCAGACCAGTTGACCAATCCCAGATTACCTGACCTTCACCTGAGCAATTTCACGGACCAATCAGCAGCTGTCTGGCTGCAGTGTACCAGAATAATTAATGTAATTATCAATTAAAGAGAGAAATCAGTTTGTGGCTCCGCCTCCTGTCTGTCCGGAGTTTGAATCAGAATATTCAAACATACAGGTGTAGATCAGATTAGAGATTATTAGAGAGTCTTTAGAGATTACAGCAAACAGATCTGAAACACAAGTTACACTGAAACAATCTGTCAATTAACCATCAGCTGAACATTAATTGTAGTTTTATAATTGATCCATCAGTTTAGTTAATTTCCAATTCAATGTTACCAAACAGAGACTTTCAGAATGTTCAGATCTTTGTTTTCATGATGCTGTTGAACATAAATCTGAAATCAAAGCCTTCGCTGAGCATTTCTTATTGTTAACATTTTATGGACAAAAAAAAAGAAGTGATTTGAAAGAAAAATCAAAAGTCAATAACTTTTATAATTGAGGACATTTAAAAATTATGTTTGCTGTATGAGCTTGTTACTGGGAGGACTGGGAGAAGTTTTGGGAGTAATGGTGTGAGAAGAACCGTTGCTGAGGGCTCCGCAGCGCCCCCTGCTGGTCACAGTGATAACAATTATTGACTTGTGGACGAACGCATTGGGGGGAAGCTAACGAACGCTAAAGATCAGTGTCGGACATTTAACTGAAAAGCGGACGGTCGGCCAAAAACAGGACTCTCAAACAGGAGACCGGCGTTTGTTTCCTGTCTTAGACAAACATTTAACAGTAAATGTTTTTATTGAAGTTGTGTAAGTTTAGTAACGTATTGTGAAGGTTCTCAGTCTTACAGGTCATAGTTATCCAAGGAAGATTAAAATCAAGGGCAACTGGACTTGACGCCCCTCATCCGAGAGACTTCTTCAGTTCTGACTGCCTGGTAGGGAAACTCAGCTCTTTACTCTCTGTGGGTTCGTGGTCAAGATGAGGGACGAAATGTCTTTGAGAATCTCCAACCAAGTCCAGTTGCCCTTGATTATAATTTTTCTAGGATTAATTAACGCTGTTATTTTAAGCAAAACCACAATCTTTTCCTAAACCTAACCCAGTGGTTTTGGAGCCTTCACCCAACCAAACTACGACGTTAAGAACGTGCCGTTTAAAAATTGTGAAGTCTCGCAATGTTGAAGAAGATGGATGAGAGACTGATTCTCGCCGTCTGTGACCTCACTGAACAGTTATCAGGACATTAAAAGGAGGGCGTTTGCATGACTAGATTTTTCAGCTATATCAATAATACATAAATTATAATAGCCTATCAACTAACTTTACTTTTACTACAACTTTATGAACCCAAAGTAAACATTTTGCTGTGATTTAATTGCAATAAACGGATCAAACTGATGCCGAAATAACGACAATATAACCTAGTTCAAGTACAACGACAGTTGGAATAAAGTTACAGACACATATTTTCTGAACTCACCAGGTAGTTCAACTTCCTCACTTTCTTTTCTCCAAGTAATGTCCAGTTTTGTCCGGTTTTTATATAAATATGAAGTCGTAGTCCAGCAGAGCTCTGACGCTAACAACAACAACAACAGTGGAACCGGATGTGCACGGAAGCTGCTGAGAAGCTCCAGTGAAGATAAATCAAGCTGTAATCCCTAAAACTAAATTAAAAAGCTAATTTAATAAAAGCAGTTAACTCTGAGCTCCTCCTGCGGGTAAACGGCGTAGCAGTCAGAGCAGAATCCAGACCGACTACGGGGGTTTATTTGTCTGAAAGCTGCAGCGCTGCTCCCGCCTCTTTCTCCCCGTACTTTCAGCAGCTCTCCGTCGGGCAGCGGATTTTCAATCTCCCGCTCTGACTGGTCCTCTCCACGCAACACTCTGAAGCCTTGGGGGATGTACGGACAATCACAACGCTGATAGGCTTTCACAACTCAGCGTCATACGACTTTCTCGCTTGAGATGAAAATATTCAACTCATGTGAATTCCTTCGCGTCGCCGGCACCGCCCTCTTCGCGTCACTTCGCGCCGCCCGACAGGAAATCGGAGCTCAACGCGTCTTTGCATTGACTTTGTATGTAAACTCACCGAACCGAACGTTCGCTTCACTTTTGGTCTGAAAGCACCATTACACGTACAAAAACGATGCTTAAGGCTACCCAGGGTGTTAAAAAGCAGCGCCAAGGGATCTTGACCAAGGGTCCACATGTGACAAGTTGGGTACTTGTTGCAGCAACATTGTGTGTTTTGCTGCCCTCTCTGGTTGAAAGTTTCACCTTCACAACATGTGTTAAGTTTTCTACGTCAGCATCCTGATGTGACTGAGTCACGTCAGCACTTCAGATAAAAGCTGAAGGAGGAGCTGCTAACAGGAACAATGTTGATGGTCCAGTTCACGTGGAGCTTATAGACACAACCAAAATAAGTGGTTCTTACTTCTTACTACTTCTTACATAAAACCAAAATAACGCTTAATTCTTAAAACACAAGTATCTCCTGTCAGCAGCAGAGATGAGATTTTTCTAATAAAAAAAATAGCCCTTCGATCATAAAGAGCAATAAATCATGATCTTCAGTCTCCCGTTTAATCACAACAAACAAATCAATCAAAACACATGAAAGAACGTAACACAGAACTTTGACTCTTTTTATAAAAATCAGAAAGAGGTTCATTACCTAGAAGTATTTTACACGTACAACAAATTTGCTATGTGGAGTAGACATAAATATACAGGTGACATATGTGTAAAAGAAAAAAAAAGAAATCCAATGTGTTAGTTATTTACTTTTACTCTGGATTTGTGTTGTGTAAAACACATTTCAGGGAGAGAGGGTTTGTGTAAATGTATAAACATAAAATAGACAAAATGTAAAAATATAAAAGTATAATAAGGAAAATTTTCAATATAGAAGTTTGTGCAGTCATATGCAATATATCGTATATAATATATATAGTAATAGTTCAATCATTTTAGTCATCACAACAGCCTAAATACCCAGAAAGGACACGATGTGCAGTGGTGAGCGTGCACGTGGACAGCCTCCCTGCGATGCTGGAAATAGATTCCTGCATGCGTGACTGGGAGGAGAGCTGGGAGGTCTGGGAGTGATCAGCATTTGAACAGAGAGAGAGGGTCAAGTCTAATTAACCTTTAATGGAGATCAAGAGAGAGAGCAAATATTGACTCGACCCATTAAACACTGCTGAGAGTGTGTGTGTGTGTGTGTGTGTGTGAGTGTGAGTGTGTGTGTGTGTGCTGTTACACATGAAACACTTAAATCTTTAGCGCAAAGTTACTCAGACGTGTCTTTGAACGTACAAACCCTCTCACTAATGTAAACGAAACTGCTGCCCCGCCCACTGCAACAATCCAAGCCACGGGATTGGTTGCCGCTACCACTCACAGGTTGGTTGACAGGGTTAATGCAGAGAGACTATAACACAGCAGCTTTATATTGTACAAGATTCACTTTGAACAACTTTAGTAGCAGTAGGCGTCTGGTTTAGTAGAAGTAAAAGAAGTGAAATTTGCGCAGCGTGTAACATTATCGCCCAGTTTCTTTATTTCTACAGCTGCTTTTATCTGGATCAAACAGACATAACGTGCAAATAAACATCACTTTGTCCGTACTAACCGCAAAGGTTTGACTTTGTGATACTAAAGGTTTGTTTAACAGAATAATCACTATTGGGGCCAAACAAGTGTTTGCAGTTTATAGCGTAACCAGGTCTGACCTTTACGTGATTATAGCCAATGACAGAAGCCTGTTGTTTCCAACGGATTATGTGTTTGGTAGGCGTATGTCTAATATCCTTATTTACATTTAGAAAACAGACTGTAGCCTATTATTAACATGACTTACTGCTGAGTTACATATAAAATAAAGACATGATCTCTTTTGCAATTATCCTTATTACTCTACATTATTTAACTTGCTGTGTACCAACAAATCCAGGCTGTTTTACCTGTTAAAATACTTTTAAATGGCCAAAACAACACAAAAAATGCAGTATTCCACTTGCCAGAAAGTGACTGCAGGCTCTTCTTATTGACTGAAAGCTAGTTTCTTCCTCAAAATGACATTCAGAAGAGTTATGTTTGACAGATTATGAAACCGAAATTGTCCCCCGTTTTATTTCATATATAATAATATTATATTTTTAATGACATACTGACCACCAAACCAAAAATGTCCCCGGTTTTCATTTCAGAATTCTGGTCACCTTATACAAAGCACGGGGCACTTCCGGTCGGCTCGGGGGCATTGCGAGGCTACCCAGCCGACCAATCACAGAGCTTACTGTCCACGTCGATTCCACGTGTAGTTACATTGTCCCGCACTCCTTTTAGCCCCTGAACGCTCCGTGACTTGTTGTCAGACTGGTATCACGGCGTCTGATCTGTGTTGTCGTTTCAGGAAAGATGGATGTCTGTTTGTATTCCTCTGCAGCTGATTGGAAACAACAGTTTGACACAGTCGGAGTTAAAGATTAAAAAAAGTTGATGTGATATCGGCTGTCTGTGTTTGTTTGTCTGACAGGAAATGACAAACTCCTGATAAACACTCAGCTCTACGGCAACATTCATAACTGTGATTCTGAGATACATAAATAAAGTCGACAGCTTGGTTTGGCTTAAAAAGATGAAGCACAGGTGAAAGTGTAGTTTCATTGGAGATGGTCAGAGTTCGATGCAAAATAGTCCCATTCTGTTACCAGAACAGAGACGCAAGTTGACATGACAACCCGTTCTCCCTCGGCGTCAGTCTGTAACGCACTGTGGATCCCTGTAGCGTCATAGTTCAACGCAGTGGGGGGGCTGTTGCGTCAGTTTGTGACGGTAAAGGTAGGTATATGATATTTAAAAGAAAAGACCAACACATTCTCATCTCAATGCGTCATAACTGACGCTTTTAGACAGCGTGACAAAGCATAAGGATTTTACGAACGTCCTCCTACCTGCTAGCAGCTGTAGGGTTAGCCGGTCGACATGCATAAAGTCAGTGACTTAGGTTTTCTGATGGTGATGGTAAGGGTAGGGGCTTCGGTGGGCTGTCAAAACCTTTATCACTGCTAGCTAACTAGCACTTCCGGTCTGTACAGG